AAATGGCAAGTCACGGCAGTGAGCTATGCCTAAGACTAAAGGAGATTTTATGCCACTAGATCCGAATTTTTTAAGATTTCTCTGTCCAAATTTGCCAGCTAGTGGAGTGTACAATAAGTTTTTTTTGGAAATCCTAAAACATGAATCAAAATAATAAAGAATTTTGAGGATATGCCCTAAATTTTGCTCAGAAATTCTGCAAAGTTATTCAAATCCTATTATAAGTGTCACAAGCTAAAACAAAACCTTGAAGTATGTACAAATTCCTTTTGGGATTGTGTAGTTACATACCGAAAGTAATAGACAGTTTGAAAATACAGGTACGACAAAAATGGAAGTTCGGAAGTGGTAGAATTTTTTTACTTCTAAACCAAAAATACTTTTAACTGTGGTAATCTCAAACTTGCGCCTCATTCGGGAGGAAAGGTCGTTTGTTAATGTGTCAATTACAAGGAATAAAAAGTTTGAAGATAATTTACTACTTATGGAATTCCATTAACAAAAGCCACTAGACGAACTTATTTAGTCACCTTGCCAATTCGCATTACCATTACTTGGAAAAGGACTCATCCATAAGTTTATTTTTAAAAAAGTAAATGTAATATCGAATTCGCATACCCCATTCAATCATGTATGTAATCCAATTCACTCCGTCGGTGCATCCGATGTAATCTATCCGAAAACGTTTCTCAACCGTTATCTCATACGTGGTTAATGTATTTTCCTGCTTAACTCCTAAATGAACGGCAATATTGTCAGCATTTTGAGAGGTGCTATCAGTAACTCATTCAGGTATGCAAAAGTAGACCAGATAGAACTAACTGAGCTCGACGATTTCTGCAAAGTCAGCTGCGTAATTGGTCGCTTTGCCTTTGGACACGTTGTATACTGGAGAAGAGTACTTCGTTGCGACAATCGCGGCCTAAAAGGCAGTCACTCAGGTTAAGAGGTTAAGTGCTAATGAGAATATGACGGATGCAATTCTGACATTGGCTAAAAGGCACTAATTGGAGATAAAATATGCTTACCGGTGTTCCTATTCCACTGAAAGTACAAGTAAGCTTGACGCTTGTCATGCCCAGAGCATCAATGAAAAATGGTTTATTTGGGTCCGGAATCAAACCATCTGCATGATTAAATAGTAAAAAGTACAATTGATGGTACAAGTTGTAAGAAATCTCTGAATTTTTGAGCTGCTTCAATTTACCTTGGATTGAAGGTGTCCAAACGTCGTCGGGGAATACAGCAATTGATACACCAATCACGTATGTTCTTTTTGGCAAAAACGTGATCCAACGTAAATCTTTCGAAATTTTTCCTGCCAATGTCACTAACGCGTGATATGGACGCACTAAAATAATTTTTAAAAGAACCTGTTAACACAAGAAATTTTACAGTAATTGTAATTTAGACTGCATTTTAGTTCAAATTGCACAGTTTTAAAAACAAATAATTAAACAAATTCCTTTAAAATACCCAATGAGCACCTGCCTTGATAGTATGCGCAGCTGAAGTAACTGGTGGTGCAGTCGTCGCCTATTATTGGGAAAGTCTGGTTGCCAACCATAACAGCCTACAAGAGAAAAGGTCGAAATTATCCCTTTTAAGAGTAGTTGTGATACAGTAAAACTGCGCTTTACCTTATACACATCAGGTAGAACAGCCTGAAGCGTAAAAAAGCTGTTTGCTGGACCTCTGATTATTCTTGCATCACCTTTAATCGAGCTGATTTGTGCATCTAATATTTCAAAGAAATAAAGAAAGTAGTGAATTTCATCTAAAATTTGGCTTTAAGGGAACGAGTGGGCTGTTTTTGAATTACCTTAGTAAAATCTTGAAGGCAAAAAAGCGACTTATTAAAAAAAACTTATCTAATACCGCTTTGAGAGTTTTAAAATCTACAGGTTTTCACTAATTGATGATCAGAGTAAAGTGTGTATCAACCAAAAAACCAAAATTGCGAGAGAATATGTGAAAGTAAGCATGAATAACACAGATGCACCAAGTTCATTTTAGACAGCATAAATCTCTTACTCGAACCCAACCAGAGGAAGAAAAAAATGAGAAATAGGACTTTTTCCACCATAAAAGGAACGATTATGCGTGCTGGATCAGAAAGCCCGCAATATAAGGCGTTCAGGTGATGTCGCCAGACTTGCCTCTTTTGATTGGCCCAACCTGCCTGACCCCTTTTTACTGGAGATCGGTACTTCGACAGCGGTTGCAATATGGTCCCGGATAAAGATATGCTCACGATGTCATAACTTTGAGAAGCTCTAAAATGAAGTTTGGTCCTAAATTCTGATGAAATCGTCGGTTTGATCTTATAAGATGGAGTTACATGGGGAAGAAAGAGAGCATTTATTTTGTGCTCTAGTATTTTCAATTTTTTTTTTTAATGAGATTGTGCAGCTTAAGCTGAATTAAGTATTTGCCAAGGGCTTCTTAAAATTTACTTACTGAGGCAAGCACCAACACAATATGCCATCATTTCCCCACAAGACATTACCTTGCGAATCCCAATTCCATAAGAACTCTGTATCTCCAAAATCAAACGACTCAATCCTAGTTAGCTAACTCCGTTTCTGTTTCTCTATTCTTGATTCCGCGGCTTCAACTTCCTAGTGTTATTCCCATGTCGCTGTCTACTATTAGGACAGTACAGGATAAGTTGAGGATAACGATCAGGACAAGCCAGTGTTGCTGGTCAACCTCCACATCCATCCCTCCCTCCCTCTCCGTCAATGTAAAGTGAAGATCTCAGGGAGAGGCTATTTGCTCAAATGCATGGGTGGTGGCACATTGTGCCTTATTTTGTAATAACAGGATCTTCCTTCTTCCATTGACTGGATTGACTAATTCTGCCCCATTTCTATTCTCATTCCGAAGTCTGTCCTTCACACGTTCTAGTTGTATTGCTTTCCATCTTTTCGCACCGCATGGTGTCATTTGATCCTCAACTGGATAAAATGAACGTAGCAAACAATTTTATCTGCATTCCACCAATCACCATCCAAGCAAAATCTTATGGGAATAAATAATTATGCGTGGCACCAGTGTGTACCAATCTTTTGTGCAAGATAAGAGCCACACGACTTCTTTGCAGAGCTATCAACTCTCCTGCTATTCGAATAATAAGCTGGCGCCATGGAGCCCTCTAACCCTGCTTGTGCCACCAATCCTGCGTTCTCGCTCTAAATTTATTCCAAAGCAAATTCAAGAATAATATGCGTTTCACAGTTCATAGAATTCCTAACTAGCACGTATTCTTGATTCGGAAACAGTGATTTATTGTTTTGCTGCATAAACAAGCGATTGGGTTAAAATTACTAGAAGTCCTTTTACAAATCTTTCTGAATTTACTTTTCACCATGGCCGGGAACTTATCACCTTTTAGTAAAGGTGGTCAGTTAACTCATTCAGGGATTATCAGTTGGACAAATACATTTTTTTAAAAATAATCATGCTAAATTTCGAAATCGAAAGCTGTTGACAAAAGTTCATCAAAAGTTCAAGCATCAGGACCATTTCCTTGGGTAAAAGTTGCCTCTACCCCTACATGTGCTCAATCTGCTGAATCCAAAGGTAAAAGAGGATTTATTCATAAATACTGTCATTGTGTTGATAAATTTTTCATTAAATCGATGAAATTCACAAAAAAAATGACACTTCCATTTACCACTTAAAAGGAAGTATGTAATTCGGACCTAATAATCTCTAGGTAATCTGATCTGGTCTGTAAAATTAGTTGCCCTTTCTTCCTGTTTTTTTTTTAAGTTATTTAAGGAGATCGTCTGGTGGATCTCTCAAACCAATTCTTCTTTGATGTGCGCAAAATTTTTCCCACCGCTTTTAAATTGCCAAACACTTCTATTGCAAAAATCATTCGACTAGCGGTTACTCCTTCATCACGCCGTGATCATATGCAGAATGGCGCGATACCTCTAAAGGTCGTCTTGGCGCATTAAACGACTCGGCAACAGGGAGTTGATAAACAATTTCTCCTTTACAAGCCCTCTGTCTCCCCTTCTTTCACTAGTCAGCGACAAGGCCACCTCTCTGTGAAGTTAACAAAGGATTTTTATCCAAGAAAGACGTCAATTAATGCCAAATTAATCACTTAAGGTGTATTGCTTGACACCACCTGATGCGTTGCCACATTTTAGGGTTGTGGGTCCAATAGCCCACGAGTAGCTTTCGGGTCAGGCGTCTCAGAGATTTTGGCAGTAGATTTACTTCTCTTCATCTCAAAACTTTAACCAAAAGGATTTTTAAGGTGTTAGTTGAATTAGTACTTAATAATATCGTAGTATTGCTATTACTTTCTGGTTTACTGAAAAGACAGTACCAGGAATCCAAATTGAAGGTTTTATTCGCAGTAAGACATATCTTCTGCTATAATGAGGGATTTTAATGAAAAAATTATAGTAATTGTAATGCTCAAGTGATCCCAGAGGTCTTTTCAAGATGAATGCACCTAGAGAATGTGTTAGTATAAAGGTACGGAAGAGTTGGTGGGGTGTTAGCGGAAGCGTCATAAGCCAGAAGTTATAGCTCTGGGATGATGTCTGGAACCTGTGGGAACTGAGGTACCTGCTTCGAAAAGCACAGTACCCACACATATATCTCTCTTGTTTAGGTGAGGTAGCGTTTGGTAAGGAGATAAGTGAACGGTTGGAGGGACTGCGATAATTGAAGCTGGACTTAAAACGATGTGTTGGCAATCAAACACGGGCATAAGTTAGTAGCGCCTGATCTGTTACAAAAAATAGGGGCTAAACATCGGAACCTTGAGTTTAATGATTCGAATAATGTCACATGCGACTTTTGTCACCTCTTTAAATAAGAGACGTTGAACTTTCCCTGTTGTATTAAAAGCATGCAGCGATCAATTGACCCCAATCTCCTCATATATTGGATGCACTTTGACCTGGAATCGCTCGTGTTTGGGGATCCAAACATGGACAAGCTATGAATGCGTTGCTTTTTGATGTATGAAATTCTTATAACACCACGAAATTAAGGAGAAATCGTCTACGATCTCTCCACTAATCTTTCGCACAAAAAGCAAATTTCTTTATTAACACGTTCACCTTGATGTTCTTGCTGGGTCTGACATCGTAACTACGGCGTCTTCTTTGACCAATCGCGATAGATTACCCCACCAAGTCGTGTCAAGAACAGATTTGTTGAGTCCAAGGGAATAAAAGGGATGCAGAGCAGTCTTGACATGAGAATAATCACGCCTTTTTGTTGTTTTTGAGCAACAATTAAAATTACATTCGAGTGTTCCTCTCCAGACTAATATGAGAGCACGAGAGAAGCTCAATGAACTAAATTAACCACCAAGTGGACAATGTCGCAGTCAGGGCTTTGCCAAGTGCTTGGCAATGCTACGCATCACACGGTTAGCTCATGCGACATTTTCTCATCACAGGTGCAAATTAGTGTGCGCATAACAGGTTTTGCAGATGAATGTGCACCCAGCTAACCTGAAGATGTGCGAGTCACATTAAACCAATTTATTTTCCTAACAATGTTTAAAAAGGCTCAAGAGTTAACACAATTTCCGTTATGAGATTACATTAAATACCAAGATAATGCACATTTAAGTCAAAGCAAGATAAAGAGATGGGACTTCCGAAGTCACCACAGCCGCCGATCAATGGCATGGATTGATAAATGATGGGAGAAAAAGGGAAGACAATTCAAAAAAGAAATGGGAAGTAAAATCAATGCCTATGGGTATGCTAGAGAAGACCATTCTGGTTGAGTGAAGCAGAGGCGGATTTGAGTCCAGCAAAGACTTGAGCCAACCGCGTCGCATCCTCCGCTCCGGGAACAGCCAATCGCCCAGCAACTGCGCATACGTGAACACGACCTTCGTCGTCACCGGCAGCGATGTATTGGCCAGTGGTATCCCACTTAACCTTGTTCATTGCCCACTGTTTCTTGTTCAGCCATCGCGCAGTTGGAACCTAAACGGGAAATGATAGGGGGGTGAGAATCAGTGACATCACTCAAGACAGATGATTGAATAAGAAAACCAACTAACCTCAATGTCTTCAATGAGGTTCCAGACGTCCAGTCGACCGCTGCCATCCACAGCGACAAAAAGAGCGGGATGGATGGGACTCCAGTCCACACCATAGACACACTCGGAGTAGTCGTCGAAGGTGTGCAGTGGAGTGTGATGGTCTCTCACCGACCACAGCCGAACAGTCCAGTCAAGCGAGGAGGAGAGGAATATGTGTGAGAAAGAGATAGCGCAGGAACTAGGGTGGGTCGCAATACCAGTCACCACCGTAGAGTGCCCTCGGAAAGGCAGTAATCGACGTCCACCGTGGCTTTCCAATGAGACAGACCGACTGAAAGCAGACACATTCAATAGTTACTTAAAAGACTTAAATAGGGTTGTTGAATAAAATGAGAGAACACCTTGAATGACGTTGATCGGTATAGATGCTACCACTCTCCGTACCGACGACAAAGTTGTTCTGATCGCCGGAGAAGAATGCCATACAGGTGGGGTAGAGGTCGAATAAGCTCCCTGGGGTAGCAGAGCCTTCACAGACACGAATGTGCTCCCGCGGGGCACCCAACATGTCCAAACTCCACGAGCACATGGTGCCGTCCGAGCTCAGAGTAATGGCATTGTGGACGTTCTGCGAGCCGATCACCTGCACCGAGTTGACCGGTTGCGTGTGCGCCAGTGTAGTGAAGGTACTACGCTGCACTGGCGTCCGCTTATTTGATCTGAGGGAGGAAAGTTGGGCCAATTAGATCATAGTGCAACACAACCTGTTCAGCTGCAGCACCTCTAATTGGGCAAACTTTTATTCATTATCCTCGTCAAGGGATGTATTTATAAACTACCGACGTCGTGGTCCATTAACAGTCACATTTATAATATGTACGAAAATACGCACGATAATTAGTTGTTCCGACTTCCCATTTTGATGAGCAATAGTTAGATATATTGGAGGGACGATAAGGTTCACCACAAGACGCTTTGGTGACGAAACTTACTGAGGGGATCCAAAGTGGTTCAATCTTTACCGCTCTTGGGATTTCTCGTATATTTGCACTTCGACTCAACAGAAGACCAAATAACCCACAATGCAACACTCTTTACAATCGTAACTATCCAAGCCAACCAAATTTCTAAAACACATTCAGATGCAGTAAAAGGTACCCGGCATTTTCATATTTTCCACTTAAGAAAAATTATTTTTAACTACCAATCGTTTGCATAAAAATAGCAAATTATGACTTATTCATCAATCCACCATTTGCTGATTTCAAGATTAGCTGCATAGCGAGCATAACAAATCCAGAAGAATAGGAAAGAAAACATATTAAATAAGGACCAACAGAACCAACAAGGCAGATAGGAAAACAATCAAATAAGTCACTGGTTTTATCTTATGATCTTGCATGAAAGACCATAAAAGAAAATATTTAAATGTTTCCACAAAATACATGTATCTATCAGGTAGTTGAATGACGTGGAGCGGTTATATATTGGAAATAAATAACTACAGAAAGGCTGTTAAGTGATCAACAATATAAACCATCATCCATTCCTTACAAGATGCTACTTTGCGAATTCCAATTCTATGGAAGGCTGTGTCTTCAAAGTCAAACAACTCAACCATAGCCAATAAACTCTGTTTCCGTCTCGCTACACTTCACATAGCAGTCCCAACTTTCTGGATAAAGACTGGAGCGGACCAATTAGATTTGGCCCGATACAGGTTTACGCATTTAAGTGAGGTGCGAGTTCGCATGAAATAACCGTTTTCCTCGTCCCCCACTTTCCCAATTTATGCTAATGTGTCCCGCAAGTTCTTCTTGACGCGCATTCTACAGACTAGACCAGTCTACTTGTGAGCATGTTCGCAGGGCATCGATTCCTTGCCGCCTAGTTCGCAGGGTCCTCTTCAATTCCATATAGCCAATTTCGAGTGATTCACCTCCAGGACCAAGTCAACACAAACCACTTCTGAAGGGTTGGCTCACCTACCGTGCCTTTTCTATACCCTCTGCCACTTCCACGAAATCAAGCTCTATTTGCCTCATGGAGCAGACAGGCTCCATTGCCATCCATCAGGTGTTGTCGACATTTGATGGTTTGAGAGCCCAAACCAACAAGCATACAATGCAGACAGGAGAGGGCACAACAGAGGCTGCTGGTGGACTGACGTTTGCCCGGACTTCACAACCCATGTGCATAAATCACCGCACTTTGCATATCACAACAAGTGGCAAGTCACGGCAGTGAGCTATGCCCAAAACCGTACAAGGTTTTGCTGTAACCTGGTGGACGCGTAGGATCATCTGTTCACATTTATCATGTTCAAAATGATGCAATCCCGACTATTTTCGGAGAGATCATGCACACCAAATCATGGTGCCAATTAGCTCTTGCCTCATTCATGTTTCGATGCGCAAATAAATTTAGGGGGAAGAAATTTGGTTTGTTGACCGATTTACCAGCAAACTACTCAAATCCACCGTCTGATCTTTCATATGAGGCAATGTAAACCGCCTAAGCATATTGTCGTACCTCTTTTTTTGCTTCGCTGTACCTCTTTGCTCCCTCTTTAACATTTCGATGCGTATTGAAAATATTTTTTGACTCCATTACTGAACAGTACCCACACCACCGATTTTACTGTTGCTGTTGTTTCTCGATGGGAATGTCTGCTCCCTTAGCTGTACGTTTTCCGCCTCTTCACAATTTATGCAAAATTAGAATCACGACGAATTTGAACAGACAGTTCCCAACGTTTGAGTTCCGTCGTCCAATTACGTATACTGCTCTCGTCGCATGTCTGAGCTAGTGAGAGTGATTCGCTGCAACTGAATCAAGCAGTTTTACAGGTAACAACAGACACACTGTTAAAATTCCGGATTAGACCACTCAAGTCAACAAAACATTTGCGCCAAACTTTCAAAGTCATAAAAACAGTAGCGTCTGTTTCGTCTTCGTTCATTTAAGGATGAAAAAGTTGGGCCACTTCCCTGAACATTCACACGTCCGGAGCAAGGTGAAATTCATTCCTTAATCCAAATGTTGCTGTTTTAGGAAACATTTAGGTTTTTTGAAAAAAAAAACCAGCACCACATATCTTCAATTCTCATATGTAATAGTGGAAAAGAATAGGTCAATTCTTGGTCACTCAAGCGCACTTGACAAACATATTCATTTACTTATTCCAGTGTTGGTTATTTTAGTTTGAAAATTATTAAGCAAATACAAGGCACAAACCGGTTAACCCAGACACGTGCTTTAGAAGTCATTCGAAAGACAACATAAATTGCCACGTATTACACCTAGACATCTGAATTAAGGTTATCAAAAGCAAAGCTTCAATTGAACTTTGCAACAGAAATTATTCAGGCCTCTCAGAGATATTGAGAAAATGTCTAGATTTTGACAAACAAAGACGGTCTATCCCACCAGTCTTACTTAAGAATGAAACAAATCATCCGCCAAACAAGTTCCTAACCACCCGTTAGTTTGCCAATGTGGCGTTTACTGGTAGAGGGCTAAGGTCAAAGCTGTCGACAATGAATGCCAAAAAATATGCATGAAGAAATGGGCCAACCGACTCAGATGAGTCCCAGGAACTACTTAAATCAGCCCACACATTAGATCACTTATTTTCTCTACTTCTCTATGGAAAACTCATTCACCATAAAATTTTGTGACAAAGTCTTACAAATCAACAGATAATTTTAATACGTCTTTCAAATTCTATAAAATATCGTTAATTCGCATTTTCTTCACATGAGACAGCTTTGCCTGGTTCTTGAGCATTCATGCACCAAAAGAAACTATTATTTTTCCATCAAATGGTCTGGGAATATGACTTATTCTAAGAGCGGAACAAAACATAAAGTGCTAATCACTAAACTCAATGCGTCCCGGAAAATTAATTCATCTGTTTTTAACACGATTTGGGGCAAGCAATCAAAAGGACTGGCAAAAACAAGTGTCATCCATGCGTGACCCTTGCAGTGATTGTGTTGAAAAAATACTTAAATCAAAACGAACTAAAATTAGGGCACTTATGTCAAACTTTTAAGCCAGCACAGAGCATGCAATTTGAGACTTGGTTCTCAGTTCACCATTTCTTCAAAATGAAATTTTTTTAAAAAACTAGGTCAATAGACCCAAAAATGCATAGGAAAACGAAACTAGTTTCAAGTATACATTTAACTAGGTAGACTAATCGTTTCTTGTAGTTTCTAAATTTCGTTTCAGTAACATACCATTCCGTCAGTGCTGCTTCAATTAACACTTCCTTAGACCTTCTGTGCATTTACAATAAAGCTTTCTCCGGGATCGTGAAAATTATACCTTCTTTGGAGAGGACTCGGGCTCTACGTTAGTGGTAGTGATAAGTGAATGCGGTCCATGTGAACAAACGATCCAAATTATCCGATTGGGCATCAAATCTAAATATTAGCACTCAAACCAATTCTAGAAAAGTAGATGAATAGGGTCACCAGTTTCGTCGAGTTATCAAGCACTTTTGCAATAAAATGAAGCGATTCAAGGAGATTTGAAGCAGGATATATTAGGAGGACAAACTCACCGACTGTCCCAGAGCACGACCTGACCTGAGTAGGTCCCACCAATGACGAGGTTAGGGTGGAAGCGGACCATGGCGGCGGCGGTGATTGGTTCATTGCAGTGAAAGCGGAACTCGGGCGAGCCACGAGTGGGGAACTTGAGGTTCCACACCATGCAACAGCCTGCTGGCTCCCCAGCTGCCTCCTCATTGGCGCTGTAGGCGGCCAATAGAAGCTCGGGGAAGACCGGTGACCAATCCAAATCCACCACGGCACGTCTGCTATTCCAGTGCTCCGCGTAGAGATCCAAGATATGCGGGAGTAGCTCCTCTTGCCTGGGGCAGGATTAACAACCGCTACTTCGCGTCAACTTAACTGACTGATAAATCCCCATTCTCACAAATTAAAACCCCATGTAAATCAGCAGGACTCGATCAAGCAAAGTTGGCTTGGTACGTAAGGGTTGATCGAAACGGCACAATTGTCACAAATGATCCCATTGACACCAAATTAGGAGATCAGCACTCCTGAGAAGAGCCCAAACTCTTGGAAAAATAGCGTCTCTTCTTTACTTAGAGCGCATTTAACTAGCTCACCAATACCCCTGAGAAGGATAAATTAGATGATAGTATTGCGCCCGTGGAAGTATCAGCACAAACAAGATCTGAGGGTTAAGACATAATTGAACTCCTCTAAAAGGCTAACAGTATCTTCTCATTCGGATTAGTTCTATAACGTGGAAAAAACTCACTAGACAGAATTGGAGCAGCAGCATTTCACCCGTCAAAGACTCTTTTTTTCACGTGAACAAGTTTGCTGCAACGATTGAAACAAACCAGATCTACTCTGCCTTATCCAAATTAAACATAAAAAAGCTGCAAAGAGCAGAGCAAGTTAATGCAAACTTGGAAATTTAAATATATTACTTCCTATCTATCTAACAAGGTAGCAAACGGAGTTAGGAACGCAAAGGAACGAGTACAACACCGCTGCTTTGATGGAAAAGCCAAACAACGTTTGCTTCGGATTCGCACGGGCAAACGAATGTATTCAGCTTCTGAATAAGCTGTACATGCATACTTGCTTAGGAAAATAGTCTACACAATACTCAAAGCACTTCGAAACTTTTTTCCTCTGCCCTAGGTATTATCACATTTGCCAATCTTACGCCTGGAATACAAGAGTATCTAACGGAAAAAATAGGTTTGCCTAATGCCTTGCAAACTAAGAATGGTAACAAAGGAGCCATCGTAATTAAAACAAGATTTACTAAAAGTGGTTTTTTAGGACGAAGAACAGAAACCTGCGGAATGGTTTCTATTTCACGATTCACTCAACAAAAAGTGCAAATATAATGACCCTCTATGGCCTAGATGGTTTGGGATCATATGAAACTTTTTTTCTTGGAACCTAGAATCATATCCTAGCATACCAACTATTTAACTCCAAAACCGATTTTTAGGATTGATTTTTTAAATACAAAAATGTTAGGGGTTCAAGGATCTCGAGAAGAAATCCATTACGATATTCACCAGCGCAACACCTTACAAGGCGCCCTTATTGAGAAATCACTTCCAGCCTAAATCGAACATGACACAATTGTGACCTATCAGAACTACTTAGTTAGTAATTGGCTCCTCAAATTTTATAATTTACTTAATAAAGCAGCATCTGCGACCTTAAAGGCGGTAACCATTACGGAGGGTGGTCACGCTGACTTCTCACATCTTCACTCGTCTCTAACATCCCCTAATTGGCATAAATGGAATTAGGATTCATTTACACAAAGATGTTCATTAAAAAGGATAACTCTTATGTGGTTTTAAGGATTCCGGAAGTGACCGTTAGTGCGACCTTGAAGAGCGCGCACGTCGTCATTGCGGGCTTGACTCTACGCTGGGCTACACTGAGGCGACTGTCTGTAGCCATGGCTTTGGCAATAGTTTCTCACGTTTGTGCTGAGCTCCGCATGCAAACACAGGAATCAACTAAGCGAACAGACTTGATGCCGAAAAGTAAGGCAGCCTAAATTATCTCTAAAAGCAAAAAATCAAACGAAAACAATAAACCAACGCGCAAAAGAGCGAACAACGAAGAGCTGAAGACGTCTCACCTTTTAGAGTACTGTAGAAAGGAAATGCGGGCAACTTACACCACATCAGACAGTTTTAAGGATTCACAGCTCCTAGTTTAAGAAGTCCCCTCTGTTTACCCAAAATACTCGAATAAGAATGTTGTGTTTCAGAACTGTCCATCTAATTGCTAAATATCAATGCTTGAACCTTTTAAAAGGGGTTTTTGATAAGAAAGGATACTTCTTTATTTCTTCTACACTTTCCCACAACCGCGTACTCCCTTAGTAACAAAACTAGCATATAATTTGGACATCAATACTTTTCATAAAATCGGAACTTACGATTCTTCCTTTGTAGCGATATTAGTGTAGTCCTGGAAGAGCTGATCCTTTTCGCACAGTGCCCTTTCAACAATCCGAGCGGATCTGTCAAAGAAAGTGCGAAATCCTTCCGACAGAAGCATCTGCTGTTTCTGCTCCTCAGTCAGCTCAACAACTGGGAATTTTTTTAGAAAATGGAAAGAGTAATTCGAAACCAAAATTAGTGGGTTACATCCTCTATCTAATAACGTACGAGCAGACTCCTGCAGTTCTTCCTTGGGTATTAGAGCGCTCTGTTTGGGGATTTCACCGTGGACGCTCTTTAGCATCTTCGCATCGGACCTATCATCGTCGTAGGGACTGCCAATCAGTTGACCATCGTTCTCTATCGGGGAGTCATCGTATGTAAGGACTGGAAACAAAAAATTGGCAAGCTACTGACTTTTGTGCTAAAATAATATTTCCTTTTAAAATTTATTTAAGACTTTCATGGGTTAGCGGTCAACATTAGTGGGAGATGAATGAAAACAATGGATATAAAGCCCAAAAACGAATGAAAATGTATTGAAAATGAGCAGATGGGGCAATGGTGGAGGGATAAACGAATGAATGAATGAGTAGGGAGTGAATGACTAAACAAGCAAATAAGTGGGTCTGGAAAAGACATGTATCCAAGCTAAGTGACTATCAAGAATGGATAGCAAAAATGAGGATGAAAGGACCAGACGTGGATAGATGCATGCGGGATAGGAGGGTGGTTAAAAGCAATTGATCAGAGCGACAACAAAGAAGCGTGAGGGTAGAATGCATTCATACCAGTTCAACTTACCATAATAGTCCATAGCACCAGCTGAAACAGGATCAGTAAAGAGAATAAAATGTCGGAAATACACATGACTCAAATAAAATAATAATGCTCCATACATTATCACACAGCTAATGTGGGATTAAGCTGTCCAGTAATCCGACATCTATCAACTACATGTTAGAGATAAAACATATTTAGAATGTTCAGATACTTGTATAGATAATTTCTATGCCCTTTTACTATCATACACTAAAAGCTGCCGCACAGCTAATGGTAAAAGTTTGTTTTACTCAGCCAGTAGACAACACTTCCATAAATTCTGAAGCAATCTTACTTGATCGGGACAAAAGGTGACTGCGGTCTGAATTCCAGACTATAATTCGGTAAGGTGCATAAGCATAAGCGTGCTAAATTCTGCGATTGGCAGTTTTCATGAATCGAAAAGCAATAAAAAGCAATGATAGTACTGTCGGATATACAGGAAACTAAAACTATTATTAACAGTAATACGTTTAGTCAGTAAGATTAAAATTGCGCATGAGTGAATAGCTAGAGTAAAAGAAGATGGGAAACAGCCACGAAAAGTATCAGCGTGGTTACAGGAAATGCTTACGGTCCCGGTTGACGTTAAGTTCCACTGTTTGGGTTTCTTTGGCATAACTATCACGTGGATGTGGCTGAACATCAAACTCTGATACGAGACAATATTGCAGCTTCTTTGGCTTCTTAATGATTGGGAAAGGTCTAAAACTTTTAAGAAATCATTATAGAGTTACTTAGTTGCTTCTTCAGAAGTTCCAATCGAATCTGCGTCCATCTCCGAAGAGTTTGGCTCCTTTAATGAGCCGATCCCTAGGTTCTTCAGAAGGGCGTCAGCTTCATCACGCAGATCAGCTGACGAAGACGTGTTAGAAATACCGCTGAGGCCCTGACGCCTTAGCTCCTCCCTTTTGAATTTCTCTTCGCGCAGTGCACGCAACCTTTCCTTTTTTTGTTCTAATTCAGCTTTTCGATCCGCTGCTGTAGACATCCTCGATGCCCCCTAAGTTTGTCAGTTTGCGTCTAATTATACCAACGAGACAGTGATCAATAAGATTATGATTATCTAGCATCATCGTTAACATACCTTAAAAGCTAAGAAATTCTGCAATAAATTAAACTTTGCAAAATACCGGAGTAGGTGGGCAAAGGTGTAAACGACAAAAACCCAACTTAAATTACTGAACAGTTATGCCTAAACAGAGCAGAATACCTCTTTGTTCCATATTTGGCAATAATGTTAATGTATAAATTTGTATTAGCAGAGTAATGTAAAACATAAAATTTATTTTTAAAAGATATACTGGGTGATTAAAGGCGAGAACTTAAGCTATTTCTCATTTAGTGGGCTTAACTACTCTAACATATATTGTAATACGATAGTGGTTTACCCCTTGGTTCTGGTGAGGCGCCACTTTTGAACTTTGAATTAGCCCTCTTGTGCCTCGCTGGGTGGGCTGGCCTTTTGGGCCATGCCATTAGCTCAGGCACCTTCTCCGTGCTGAATATATATATTCTGCCCGAGTATTGTGTCTCCTTTCGTCTTCAGGGAGTCTCGGGACGCTACATTGGTGGCAGCGGAAAGCGAACCCGATCTTGGAAGACGTATCCTGATTTTCCACTTCTGCGTGATAAGCCTTATTGGAGTGGAAGAAGTACATATGCTACGGATGGGAGAATGGTGATGATTCCTAACAGAAGGGTTGGTGTTGACGTCTACCTTCGGCATCTCTCCCAGTCCCGTGTTCTGCAGAAAAGCTGTTAACAACTGAAGCGG